GACACAGCACGGTGAGAATGGATTCAAGCCTTTCTCAAGGGCGTTACTAAACACAAAATGATTCTGCCGGAATTCGATTCCTATGATGTTTGAACAGTTAAGAATAACCCCACCACCCCTGCCCCCACGGATCCACCTACCCATGATTGCAATTCTCCTCCGACTGACATCGCATATACATACGAATAGATGCACCCTTTCTGCTTACACGTAAGATTTATCACCATGGGCGGTATCAAAGTAACACTGACAGCTTTTTACCCTAGTAGAAATGACAGTTTTTTTCCGAAGGTCATTCAAGATTAAATTCACGTAAAGGTCCTTGCAGTCTAATGCCATGTGAAGATATCAGGCAGCAATAAAGCCGCAAAAAAGGACTGATGTTGTCAACATTACTTAGATATACATATATATGTACGCATGCGCGTGTCTGTTAATATATGTATCAATTCCAGTTTTTCAAATTTTCTCTTGAAATTTTATAGATATTTGTGTATATACCTCATCGCTATACCGAAATATTATTTATATATAAACTTGCAGCAATACTCAGGTGGCTGTTCAGAAAAAGCGTTCAATTAGGATGGAGAAAAAACAGCATCGGGTTTAGATGTAACAGATTCCATCTTCTTCAATTACTTTAAAGTACTTTCATTAAAAAAAAAAACATTTTGAATTAATGCAGTTCCTAATATAACAGAAGTAGTCTGTATTTATTCAATCGAAGTTAGCCGAGGCATGAAGGGGTAAAACAGGCAACATGATGACCCACTTCAGACCAGAATTATTTTTGAGTTTTTGAAATTCAATTTGTCAGTATGCTATCAGAGATTTAAAGGAGGAATCATTTATAAAGCAATTGTTAAATTTGATGAAAGATCAACGAAAAATAAGAAAAGAAACAGAAAAAAAATCGCCATTTTTCGCTATTTATGCAGCTTTTCACCATATGGGTGGATACAATTATCAAGTTAAATGACTGTTAAACAATCAACTTATTGTTGGCTACAATTGAGTGAAGTTTGTATTGGATTGCTTTAAAATTGAGGGAATTTTTAGTTTAAAATTTGGGTTGAAATCGATTTATGTTGAAAACGATTTATGTTGAAAACAATTTTTCGTTTTTTGTGGCTTTTCGCTAAACGCAGAGGCGTAGAAATAAACATGAGGCATCGTTGAGCTTGTCATGATGTAAGTAACCTACATACCGAATTTGAAGGAAGTCAGAGGAAAAAAAATTGAATTTATCGATATTTGATCGGCTTTATCTATTATTGATTTTTAAAAGTTATCATTTTTTTTACGCTAAGAAAATATCTGTTGCAATGTATGTGACAAGTTTGGTCACAATCGGCTAGATGGATCTCGAGTGAAAAGGTATCAAACAAACAGACAGACATACAGGCATCATCTGTTTTATATATATTATTAGTCAGTCTCAGTAAAAATCTATTCTGATATCAGTTGATAGCCATTCAGAATATAATTACAATATATATATATATATATATATATATTTGGTTGGATAGATGTGAGTTTGTGACCCTGCCTTTAAATTCATTGAGGAACATAGATCTGCAAGATATCGTTGCGGTTTCTATAACAAGCCAATGAGTAGATTGTTAGCCTACTAAACAACCCCCGACCTGGAGGATCAGTTTTTGAATTCAGAGTTGTCCTTCTCCTAGTCCAGTTGTCACCGAAGTTTTTATTTAACTGTCATGGGTCTTTACCTATAACTACAGAATGAACTCTTCCTAACACTATGTATACTACGCCTCTCAAGAGAGAGGGACGGATCAAGCCGAGCTTCTCGGCTTGATGGTCGAACTCTCTGCCTCTGAGCAGAGAGGAACCCGGACGACGCTCCGCCGAAGGGCAGAGTCTCGTTCGGGGAGGTTGACCAACCCGATTCTGTTTTTACAATTTCTAAGGGCATTTTTTGGCCGAGCCTCTCGAAAAACCCACGTAAAACTCGGCCTTGTGCCACATCTTTCCCTCGTGGGCGGCGGGGGGGGCATGTAGATATCAAATCGAGTCGAGCCGATAGTAGTTCACTCCAAACCTGACTGACAGTCATACTAACACCTTCCACATCTTGTATTATTATTTCGTGTAATATACCTTCGTTATTTCTACTCTTGGGTTCGTGTTGTTCTTCCTTGGTCCTAACCTGCACCATAACATTAACCATAGCTGAGGGAGAAAAAGAGGATTCATACCTTTCCCACTTAAGTGAATGTAATGGATTCGACTGGAATTCGAACTCGGTTCTCCGATTCCTCAATCCGAGCCACAATCCATCATACCTCCTAGTTACAATGAGTCGTGTTATTCATTGGATCAGAGTTCTTTGCGTTTTAATTGAATTTCAAAGATAATATATATATACACACACACACGCATATATATATATATATATATATATATATATATATATATATATATGTGTGTTGAATATATATATATATATATATATATATATATATATGTATATATATATATATATATATATATATATATATATATATATATATATATATATATATATATATATATATATATATATATATATATATATATATATATATAGCATTCAACAACATATGTATAATTTTGTCGCAATAACTTTTGTCATCTATGAAGCATCATCATGATTCCATCGTATCTGAACTTGGCATCTTTCTGGATGTTGAACTGGTCTCTAAGCGGCTTTTAGAGGCTTCCAGAAAATTAAAATTGATTCTATGAAGATAATTTTGTAGGGATCGAAACAAGTGATAATCCGAAGTTGCAAGTGTGTACGGCGGGTGTTGTAGGACGACCCAGCCAAGTTTTATCAAGTGCTGCCGGTTTAGTAAAGACATATGAGATTTGGCGTTGTCCTGATAGAATATGACAATCTTTCTATTGGTCAGTTCGGGACGTTATTTATCGATCGTTACCTTTCATTGGCTCAACTGGGAAGAGTTCTTGTCTGAATTCAACGTCTGATTTTGAGGAAGGAGACTGTAATACCCAAAACCATCAAATAAACAACACCAACTTCTTTGGTTGCAGATCGGCTTTTGAAGCGGTTTCATTTTCCCCTGGATCATTTTCGCTACATATTGTTGTAAAGGAATCACTTTTCGTCGTCACTGATCATTCTTTAAAAAATGTTTTTGCTGCGTTTGAGCAGAGAATTTTAAATGGAAATTCGATCCATTAAATTGTTTTCCTTTACATCAAGAGGTACCGAAACATCGTAGCGATTCAGGTATTCAAGTGGTTACACATGCCTTACAACGCTCATATTAGATATATGGAGTATCTATGCGATGGACCGTGTCGTGTGGATTATTTTTATTCAGCGCTTCGATTTATTCATTTTTATTTTGTCCACATTCACAATTTAGAAGCATGTTATGTAATATGTAAACTGCTATGCAATATCTGTCCTCCTATGTGGCAGATGATGAAGAGACTGGAAGCTACAGAAATCTGGTTCTACAGAAGGATACTGAGAATACCATGGACCAAACATTTAAGTAACGACGAAGGAAACAAAAGATAACATACATAACATCAGGAAAAACAGTTGAAATTTTTGGAGCATATAATGAGGAAAAGCAGCCTGGAAAATGTGATACTCACAAGACAGAATGAAGAAAATTCATAATCTACCTGGCGAGCTTGAGCAAATGGATGGTGAAGTAGGGTTTCAGAGACAAAGCAAAAGACAAAATTTGTTAGGCGCTACAAAGGATAGGAAATTGTGGAGAGCCATAATCGCGAACCTCTTGAAAGAAGAAGTGCTTTTGTTAGATTCCAGTATTCTGTGATGGATAACGCCAATGAAGAACCTACTAGACAATCACCATAATCTTTTGTTGGTGCCATTTTGGTTTGGGAAAATGTTTGGATACTTCGTTATGATCAAGCCATTGAGACGACCATTTACGATTGTCATAATTGAATAACTTCCGCATCACAAGTCACAATTCAATCAAGAAATGGAACATTCCAATTTCGCAGATGCAGCATCAAGCACTCTTCAAAACTTTGAACTCTTTGACTTTCGCTGCGCTTATATGAAACCCATTTATGGAGTTTCTTCTGCTTTCTTTAGATGGTCTGATACTTTTGAAATGCTGACACCTATCATTTGAGACATTTTGCAGATGGACGTCTTCTAACACTTAGGTCTCCAAGACTCGTATCCCGACTGAAGACTTTCAGAAATCAGCGTCGTACTGTTCGATCACAAGTAGATCCTTCACCCGATGATCTGGCAGCAATTTAACGTAGATAGCAAGAAGTTAATATTATAGAGTTCTGGAAAGCATCCACGCGAGAATGTGTTTCACAACGTAGCGGTTCGAGGGAAGAAGCTTTCAGAATTGAACGCCATTCTTTGGAAAGGAATGAACTAAAAACACTAAAGAATGGAGAACATTTGCACTCTTTTACAAACATGGCCGACCTTGTTACACCCACAGGATCCAAACATCCCAATTCCCGACGTATTCCTTTGATAAGAATAGCGTTCAATTCTGAAAGCTTCTTCCCACGAATCCCTATTTTGTGAAACACATTCTCGCGTGGATGCTTTTCAGAACTCAACAATATTAACTTCTTGATGTCTACGTTAAATTAGTTATCTGTCTGTGTACACTTTAATCATTATGTATGTGTATATTCTTGAACACATGCAAAAAACGTAAACACATCTCTTCTGTTTTTTTCCATGTTCAAGATGACAGGTATATAATGTTTTAACTTAAATTCTGAAAGAGAGTGATATGAAATCAGCAAACAGGACACTTTAATCATTAAGAAAGAGTAATAGATTTTTGTGCAACTTGTAATAACATAGAACAGAAATGGTTTATTCTAAAACCAGACATTATTTTCCGAACAGCCTAGTACTATTTTCCAGTGTACACACAAAGTACGTCACGCAATTGAGAACAAAATTCGGAAAGAGACTGATATAAAATTAGCAAAGAGTACACTTT